CCCCCCCCCCGAGTGGGGGGGGCGCTGGCCAGCCCCTGTGGTTTAACTTTAAGAATGACATATATGACTCCAACCTGTGGGATCTTCCAAGGAACAAATAACTGGAATTTCTAACCCTGGTAAAAAAAAAAAATACAGGGAAATTCAAGATTTGTAAGTAATAAGTAGTGTTAGCCTAGGCAAGTCTAGTTATAAGGGTTCCCCCACCAGAAACAGATTTGTAGTCTTCAAAGTCTAGATCTCTACCTAGCATGAAAATGAGTCTGTTCAGACTGCCATCAACTCCAAGTAGAAAAAAAAAAATCCATCCAGAATTGGCTTATATTTTTTAAAATGTATCTTTTCGTAGGCCAAAAATAACAGGAACCCAAATTCTGTTCCTATTTCTTCTCTTCCATCTTTGTGTATTGGGTTCTGAATTCTCTGAGTTTCAGTTGTTACACAATGTCATTAAGTGTTGAGAATTATCTCCCAAGTCTCCTACAGATTTCTCATGTGTCATGGATTACTGTCATGTCTTAAAGGAGTCTGTCAGGAAGGACTTAGATCATCAGACATAATGCCTTTTTATATTACTTTTTTTAATATTCGGAAGTGAAATTGAGTTATTTTCAAAATAATACTCTAATGTGAAGAAAGTCTTTGGACAACAATTACATTCCTAGAAAATCTGTTGACTGACACTTGTGTAAAAGATTATTGAGATTCATATGAAAAATAAATTCTAGGTTCAAAAAAAAAAATCTTAACTTGAATGAAAAATCCGGAATTTAAATCCATAGAAATCGATGTACTTGACTTGGGAAAGCATATTAGGAGAGTCTAGAAGACTCTGAGGAACCCCAACATTTAGAAGCTTTGTAGAGGAGAACCATCTTGTTAGAGAAACAGGGAAGCAGTCAGTGAGATGAGAGGAAAACCTGTAGCTATAGACTAGCAAAAGCCAAGTGAAGAGAGTGTTTTAAGAAAGAATGAATGTGGACCAGCAGTTAGCATAATGGCTATGTTGCTGGACTCCCATGTAGTTGACTGCAGTTCGCGTCCCGGACCCAGTGGCTTAAACTCATGCTGGGTGCGTGTGTGTGTGCAACCAAGATCTTGAGAGGAGAATGAAGGAGAAGGGATTGTGGCGTGGCCATTCCCCCTGGGGGGTGATTTCTCATTTTCTGTCTCTCAGACTTTCTCTGTCTGGTGAGTGCACATGCCCCATAGCAAAAACCTCTCCAAAAAAAAAAAAAAAGAAAGAAAGAAAGAATGAATGAATGGACACTGCCAAATTCTGGAGTGAGCTGAATTGTGATTGGATGGGAAATTATGTATGTTGGATTTGGAGAGATCATATCATTTCAACCAGTGTCTATTTTCAGTAGAGATATTATGTGAGCCACATACATATTGAAACTTTTTTTTAGAAAGGTGAGAGGAAATAAAATGGATATTAATGCTATCTTACACAAAACTTGTAGAATTTATACATATTATTCATAGGAGGTAGTCTTCATTCTTTTGTTCATGTGAAACTTTCCACATCTGGTGTGTATTTCGCACTCACAGCACATGTCAGATGGGTCTGGTCACATTTCACATGCCCACTAGCCCACATGGCTTGTGGCCACCTTGCCGGAAAGCCTAGCTCTAGGCTGGAGAGCCTAGCTCTAGACCCTCACCTTCTGAGCCTGAAGCTCCTCACTGACAAAATGGATGAGTTCTAATCTCTTGAAGAAACAATATCATTTCATGGAGCCAAGAAGTGGCTCTTATTATTACCACACTTATTTTTCCAAAATGTAGGTACTTTGTTATTTTTTCTGACTTTGAAAAAATGCCTGTCAGGAATCTCTTTCTTTTCTTTTCTTTTCTTTCTTTCTTTCTTTCTTTCTTTCTTTCTTTCTTTCTTTCTTTCTTTCTTTCTTCTCCTCCTCCTTCTCCTCCTCCTTCTTCTTTTTTAATACAGGGCATGCATGTTCACAGAAGAAAGACAAGAGAGGGAAAGTGAGAAATCACTCCCCGGCGGGGATGGGCACACCACCATCCCTTCTCCTGGGATCTTGGGAATGTGTGCATAAGTGCCCAGCATGATTTTCGAGCTGCCAGTCTGGGACTTGAACCATAGTCGGCCTTGTGGAAGTCCAGCACCGTAACCAATACCCCACCTGCTGGCCCCCATGTGTAAAATTTTGAAACATATTGCTAACTACCCTCCAGAAGGAGAAACCCATCCGTCCTCCCACTACAGGGCATGCTCCCAGCCTCTCCAGTTGTATTCCCCTTTTCGAGTTTCAGCTGCTAGCAGTTTCGATTCGTATTTCTCGAACTGCAGTGATCTCGCCCACCCTTCCCAACGTTTTGGCTATTTGGATATCCTTCCAAATGTGTGACCGAAAGAGCTTTGGTTCCAAGCAATAGTCTCTGGACTTCACTGAGCTTGGAGCCAGAACAATCTGGGTTCAAGGCCTCTCTCCCCTGCAGACCATGGTCTGGGTTTGAACATATTTCTATTTGCTGACCCTCACATTCCTAATCTGAAATGGAAGAAGCTTGTCCTGAAGGTGTAATGTCTATGTAGCCCCCCCAAAGGGCACAATGTGGACGCCTGAAAGGTGGCTGTTAGGTTTTGAGGGGCCATCAGGCTAGTTCGATCTGGGCTCTAAGGGTTGAAAGGGGCTGCAATCTGTGCAGTGAGCTGCTTGTCTCAGGAGGAATTCGAGCATATGCTGACCACACACACAGGGCTTTGCAGGAGTCCAGGTTAAGGTGATTAATGGAGGTGTATCTGGGGACCCCAGTATTCTGTGGCTCTTAGATTCTTCCCTCTTTGGACACCCTCCCTTCCTAGGGTCCTTGAGCTGGGAGGACAAGCCTTTGCTGTGTCCCAGCAGCATCTAAGAGCCCAGGAGCTGTGCACAAAGGGCTTTTGCACCGTGGGCAGTAGCGTTCATGCCCAGAGCTGTGCAGGACAGGATCCAGAGGCCTGGCTTCCAACAATGCTCCCTTTACAGCGGGCCTAATTCCCTTCCACAAATCCTCATTTGCAAACCTGCCAAGCAGTGGCCTACTGGGGTGCCCAGGGTCACATGCTTTGGGGCCTTCTCATTGTAGGTTCCTTTCTGATGCTGTCACCGGCGTGGCCATTGTCACCATCTTGTTCTTCTTCCCGTCCCAAAGGCCCTCTCTCAAGTGGTGGTTTGATTTCAAAGGTAAGGCAGTCAAGGCTGGGGTGTCGGGGAGTGCAGCGAGGCTCATGCATGGACCGTGGCCTCAGTGGCCTGGAGCAGCCCTGCAGAACCTGCCAAGTGCTTCAGCCCCCTTCCGTTGTCTGGGCAGTGACCTTGACTGGGGACTTAGAGCTGCCCGAGGTGACTGTCCAGGACAGGGAGTGGCAACTACAAGCTGCAGGCCAAATCCAGCCAGCCATATGATTTTGTACAGCCCATGAGACAAGAATGTTTTCCACATATTTCGGTCATTTTTTCCTTTTAATTTGCCATAGAGGGCATGAGCTTACCAGAGAAGGAAAAACAGAAGAGGAGAAAGCACCCCCGATGGGGTGTGGTCCCGCTGCAACCCCTTCTCTTGCAGCCATGTGTCCTGGAGGGGTTTGGGACACAGACACACACGTGTCCGGCATGTTTTCAGACTGCCAGGGCTGGGATCAGAATTGCATTTGTCCATGTGGAATCCAGCTCCATTAGCCACTGGGCCACAGGGCCAGCCCCACTTTTTTTTTTTTTTAAGAAGTTTTTGCCTTCCTAATTTTGACTCCTTCTGGTGTGTACTTGTGTGTCTGTCTGTCCTGCACAGCCTCTGCTTCCTCACAGGATCTGTTTCCTCCTAGCATCTGCTTCCTCAGTGGAGCTTCCTCAGAGCGTCTACTTCCTTACAATTTCTACTTCCTCTTAGTGTCTGCTTCCTCATGCTATCTGCTTTCTCTTAGTGTCTGCTTCCTCATGCTATCTGCTTCCTCTTAGTGTCTGCTTCCTCCCACTATCTGCTTCCTCAGTGGAGCTTCCTCAGAATGTCAATTTCCTCCTAGTATCTGCTTCCTCCTAGTTTCTACTTCCTCCTAGTGTCTGCTTCCTCCCAGTTTCTACTTCCTCCTGGTATCTGCTTCCTCAGTGCACCTGCTTCCTCGCAGCTGCTGCTTCCTCAGTGTATCCACTTCCTTATACTGGGTCATTGGGAAAGTCATGATGCATTCTTTTTTTTGCATAGAAAACTCAATAAAAAAAGTCATGACCTTCCCGACAACTTGGTAATTTCTGCTTCTTCCTGTCTCTGCCTCCTCACAGAACGCTGGACCACTGGCGCCCCTCCCACCACCCATGGCCTCTCTGCTGGGTCTTTCACCTGCAGTCACCATTTCTCATCCCCAGTCCTCTCCCTACTCCCCGCTGACACTCCTGAGAAGAACCCGGCTGGCCCAGCATGCTCTCTGGGCAGGTCTCCTCCTTACGAGGCGCCCGAAGCCGCTCAGGTTCCCGGCAGTGTGTGGGCTGGCTGCCCTGGGTGAGGTGCTGCTCCAGGCTTGGCCACCGGTGGGTGACCCATGGTGCCCAGAGCATCCTCAGCTGGGGCAGTGGGGAAGACGCTGTGACGTAGGTGGCTGCTCAGTTACTGACTTGCTTTTCAGCTGCTTGGACAGCCAGGGGACACACAGGAGCTGGAAGTGGAAATCCCTGTGTGGGGAGGTTGGGCTGATAAGAAAGAGTGGCCGGGCGTGGCTGGATGGGAAAGCATAAAGCCAGTACCAGCCGACGTGCCTCGAGTGCTTTAAGCGTGGCAGGCCGTCTCAGAAGCACTTGCTGTTTAATCTGCATCACGTGAGACCCCATTCCAGACTCTCCTTCCCGGTTCCCATCCTCACCAGCTCTGAGGGACAAGTCACCTTACATTCCCAGGCCTCTCCTACCTCAATGAAATTGTATTCGTCACTGGAAGCAGAGGATGAGGCCACCTGCCGTTTTCGGTCATCTCCTCCAGCTCTGGCTTAACTGTGTGTTGCATTTGACCCAGGACTCCCAGGTGTAAATCTGACACCTGTGGGTGCACCTGCCTGTGGGCTACACACTAGCTGGAGGAGGGATTTTATTAAGTGGCTTGTATTTTCTGATTTTAAAATCTTATTTGAGGTCAACCACGTTGTAAAATTTGGAAAAAGCTGAAAAGGAGAAGCCAAGTATCAATGCTTCCTTGCCCAGGAAGTGTCCTAGGAGGTGGGAACTGCCAGAAAGGAGCCAGGCCCAGTTCTTGGCTGCCCTAGCCACGGTCGCAGGGGAAAGGCCCATTTCAGGGGTGTTTGCTCCACACCAGGTATTGGGCTGAGTGTATCACATGCATTATTTGTGAGGTAACTCTCAGGTGCCAGGCCCTATTCAAGATACTGGGGTGCAGCTGGCATCTGAACACAAAGGCCCCTCCTTCCCACAGAGCCATGGTTACTTCACCAGGTGCTCACAAGGACAGACCTGTGCCGTGTGTCAGCTGAGGCAATGGGGCTCGGAGAGGCGAGGTCACTTTCCAAGGCCCAGGAGGATCAGCTCCCGGCCTGTCCTCTCAACCCAGGGGTAGCACCACTGCCCTGTGCCGCCCACAGCCCTCCACCCGCTTTTGTAAACCGACGTCCACCAGCGCGCTGCCATGCCCGTGCGGGTGGGCCTCGTCCCTGGCTGCCCTCTCGGGTCAAGCACAGAGATGTTACAACACGGACGGCGCGTGCAGCCTGGGAAGCCAGCCTCACGTGCTCTAACCCCTACGGGAATGTTTACCGCTGCCTCCCATTCTCTTCTGCTTGTTTTGTTTTGTTTTTAATTTGTTGAAAAGCACATGAGCTCACTGGAGGGAAGAGAGAAAGGGGGGAAAGTGAGAAGGCACCCCCGTGGGGAATAATCCCAGCACAATCCCTTCTCCTCCGTTCTCTTTTCGGAAGTTTGGTCACACACGCACACACACATAGCACGTGTTCCAAATTCAGGGTCTGGAACTTGAACCAAGAGGCTGTCCATGTGGGATCCAGCCATCTTAACCTCCAGGCGAAGGGCTGGCCCGATGCCCCTCCAGTCTAACCATTGCAACGCACTCTTTTTTCCCCTCAGGTTTTTGCTGTAGGGTTTGCACTGACCAGACTGAGAGGAAAAGCGGGAACTTGCCTCCTAGATGGTGGCCGCCCTGCGATGCCCGCTCCTCCACTCTCCTCTCGGGATTGGGCATGAAAGGGGGGAAAGTGAGAAGGCACCCCCGTGGGGAATAATCCCAGCACAATCCCTTCTCCTCCGTTCTCTTTTCGGAAGTTTGGTCACACACGCACACACACATAGCACGTGTTCCAAATTCAGGGTCTGGAACTTGAACCAAGAGGCTGTCCATGTGGGATCCAGCCATCTTAACCTCCAGGCGAAGGGCTGGCCCGATGCCCCTCCAGTCTAACCATTGCAACGCACTCTTTTTTCCCCTCAGGTTTTTGCTGTAGGGTTTGTGCACTGACCAGACTGAGAGGAAAAGCGGGAACTTGCCTCCTAGATGGTGGCCGCACTGCGATGCCCGCTCCTCCACTCTCCTCTCGGGATTGGGCATGCACTTACACACGCCTGGCAAGGTTTTCAAGCCACTAGATCTGGACTTGAACCACAGAGTCGACCATGCGGGATGCAGTTGCCCCAGCCATCACGCCACCTGGCTGGCCCCGCAGTGCCATTTTTGAAGAAACACAATTCATCCCATCATTTCGTAGGCCAAAGATACTCTTACTTTCATGTTTTTGAATTTCCTTCCTCTTTTTCTCCTTCTCTGTACGCATTCAAGTGCAAAGAAAGCCTTTTTTTTCTTGTAAATTAGGATAAAAATAGCACTTACCCAGAAGGGCTGTTAGGAAATTTACAGACATTTCCTGCCTGTGGAGAAAATTCTCAAGCCCCGGGAGCCACAAAAGTGGTTTTCGTTCTGAGTAGAGCAGACACCCCATCATGATGTTTGTGGAGTTTTCTCCTAAAGTGCCAAACCAGATACAGGAGCCAGACCGTGGCTTCCCGAGGACTCTGCGTCCCCACGGAGCTGGGGTGTAGGGTTGGGGCCCGTTCTCAGGCTGAGTGGCCTGAGTATGTGCTGGTCCCTCTCTCTGCCCAGCTCCCAACACGGAGACGGAGCCTTTGCTGACCTGGAAGAAGGCCCAGGAGACGGTGCCCTGGAACATCATCCTCCTCCTGGGCGGGGGCTTCGCCATGGCGAAGGGCTGTGAGGTAAGTTGGCAGGAGTGGAGGGCACTGAGGCCGGGCGGGACAGGCAGTCCCCAGGCACAGTGAGCGGGTTCTACCGGCCCCAGTGGCACAAACCGGGCTAGGGTGACAGTTCTGCCTTGTGGGTCCACACTCAGGGTCTGGTGGGGAAAGACAGGAGGACGGTGACAAACTGCCCCTCAAGTCACTCATGGGGGGCTTCATGTCAGGGCCGATAGAAACACCGTGACCCCAGAGCTCTGTCAGCACAGAGGAATACGCTGTGTTCTGTGTGCCCCTGCCAGGCCCCGTCCAACACACTGCACACGGGTGAGGGGACTTCAAAACACTCAGGAGAAATGGAATTAAAGTACAAGATGGTGTTGTTACCATTTAAAAAAAAAAATCTCTGCATAGTTTTTTCATAACATGCATTTCCCATGAACCTTTTGAAGACCCCCCTCATACTAACTCACTTAAACCTCCCAACAAACCTAGATGGTAGAAGCCATTCTTGTCCCCATTCTATAGATACAAGACTCAAAACACAGAGAAGTTGTCAAACGTCACACAGCTGGGGGGTGAGGGTGAGAACCCGGAGAGCTCAGTGCTAGAATCTATGCTTTTAACCATTATGACATGAACGTTAGATATTAATGTTAATTAATTCTTTATATTCTTTCTACTTTATATATTTTTTAGAGGTTTTCACCTTACAGCATGTGTGCTTGCTGAAGAGAAAGAGAGACAGAGACAGTGAGAGAGAAAGAGAAAAATCACTTCCATGCTGCAACCCCTTCTCCTCCTGGGATTCTGGGCACACACACACACGCCCAGCATGAGATTCAATCCACAGAGTCCAGGACGAGAACTATGGTTTGGTCATGTGGGAGCCCAGCGACGTAACTGCTATGCCATCTGCTTGCCCCCATTGATGTGTGTTATTTAGTTATTCCAGAGGTCTCTATGAGCTCAGGGAATAGGGCCGAGCACACAGAATTCCGAGCGGCCCTCTCTCTCTCAGGGTAGTGCGAGTTCGTGGTTGGCCAGCCCTGCTCAGAGGAGGTGCAATCTTGGCATCTAACCTATGCCGTATGCGATCTTATTTAATCCTCACACAAAGAGCTAGGTGGTGTCTTCATCCCCATTTGACAGGTGGGAAAAGCGGGGCATGGATTAAGCCCTTCTCCTGAAGCCGTACAGTGGTGCTCTGCTGAGCCGCTGGGGCTCAAACTCTGATCCTAGATCCAGGCTCCGAACCGTTCCCTCGTGAGAACCTTGCACATGCCAGCCACTCCTTGAAGGGCTTTGCAAAGAGGGACTCAGCCCATCTTCATACACACTGAAGTAGGTACTATTGCTGTCCCCACCGCGCCGATGAGGAAACAGACAAAAGTACACTATTGGGTTGTCGGAAAAGTCGTGAGCACTTTTGCATTAAAAAAAATGTGTCATGACTTTTTTGACGACCCAATAAATAGCTCACCCAACTTTGCTGCCAGGGATGGAGCTGGCAGTCATAGTTGAAGTTTATTTTTTCATTAGAGAGAGGTACCCTTGATGGAGTGCCACGCTGCCATCCTCCCGCAGCCCTCCTGGCCAGCCAGGATTGTGTGCACATGCAAGCACCCAGATGTACAGGTGGGCCTGGGAGCTGAACCCCAGTCTTCCTGATGGCTCTCCGTCTGCACCCCTGCAGCTAGGCCTGGTGCAGGGATTTGAAGCCAAGGCTCCTGGGCCTGGCCTTCATCCCTCCCCTAAATCTCTCCATGGAAGCCAAATTCACAATTAAGGGTCCATCTGAAATTAAGGGAAAGGAAACCTGAAATGACACCTGATGGCTTTGTCGTCTTCATTCTGAGTTCCACATAAAGTCCCAATGTAGGACGTGGTGAACGGTCATAACAGTCAGAAGCCCAGGCTCGGAGAGGGGAGTATTTGGATTCAAATCCGGACACTACAGTCCTTGCTGGAGTCCTTGGAGCAGGCTCCCTATCCTCTCTGAGCTCCAGTGTTTCCATCTATGACCTGAGGATCGAAGCCCTTCCTCTGTGGGCTTGTTGGAAGGAATTACAGAAGATACTTCCCTAGTGTGGAGCTCGGAACGCTGCACACGTGAATTCCGTAAATCCTCCGCAGGGTGGAGTTCTAGGAAGCCGACTCAGAGCTGGAGATTAAGGAGCACGGGGTTCGTCACGCTGTGCCCTGGGGTTACCTGTGCAGAGAGAGGAAGGAAGCAGGCAGAGGGTGCTGTGGGGCTGCCAGCAGACCCAGCCCGGCGGGGAGCTGTGGACCTGAGACGGCCCTTCAGAAGTGGCCTGGTTGGTGGGAGATGGCTAGGCCTTTCCCACAACCACCGATCAGTCTGTGGGCGAGAGCTGCCCCAGGAGCAGGGTGACCTTGGGCATGGCAGCTCTCAGAAGCTGGGACAGCTCCTGGCACTCCCTGACCTCCGTTGAGGGGATGGGTACTCTTTATGAAATACATTTTTTTTTTCATTTTTTAAAAGGCACATGGACAATGGTACAGACTTCAATGGGAACCAAACAAAAGTTAGGCAAAAGTACTGGTTTTTTGTCTTCATTTTAGGAATTTTGAGGCCCAGAGAGGTCAAGTGACTGATTCTAGATAACACAGCTCATTGATAGCAGAGCTAGGATTTAAACTCATGCCTGTCTGGCTTTTATGCTACTATTTCCTATTGGGTATAGTATATCAGGGAAGGCTTCCTGGGGAAAGTGACATACTATCCGGGTCTTGAAGAGGCCATGCAATGCAATGGAATCAGAACCTCTGGAATGGAATCACAGATCTTTCACTTAGCTGCATGATCTTTGTCAAGTTACTAAACCTTTCTTGGCCTCAGTTTCCATCTACAAGGTGGAAATAACCATGCACCGGGATAGCGTTGTCATGATTGTTAACTGAGTCAATATGTGGAGAAAATCGGAATCAAGGACGACACGGAGGTCCATGGTCTGAGCAACTCAGCAGAAATACTATCATTTGCAGCAATTACCTGAACACAGCGTGGCCCCAAGGCAGGGGTCGGATACAATGATCCTGCAACCAGAGACTACTCTGAGCCCTGGGAGTGGTGGGAGCAGCACTGGGTCCCAGTGGGGGCTGGGCTGCAGGACTGCTGAGCATGCTGGGAGGCCAGCCTGGCTCTTAGCCCAGCCGCGGGCAGCCAGCCGGGGTTTCTGTTCAACAGGGGCTTTGTATCGTAGCTGCCCTTTTCTCTGCTGGGACTGGTACCAGTCCCGCCCCAGATGGCCACAGCCCAGCCCAGGAATGGCCAGGATACTCATGGCACATCCTGGTTCCTGGCTCCTGCCCAGCATTTCTGCCAGGCCACAGCAGGCTGCCTGAGGCTTGGAAGTCCTTGAATGGGGCTTGGGGTGAGCTGGGTGCATAGGCTCCCAGTGCTGGTTCTGAAGGGCTGGAACACATTCTAGCGCTTACGCTGAGCATGGGCAGCTTGCAGGAGCCGACCTAGTGCCCTTGCTGCAGTTTCCCTGCTCTAAAACTGGTTGCTCTCGACTGACCCACACTTAAACTCCTGTCTGAAGGCTTCTTTTGGCCTACACACTGGGCTGCAATGGCCTGGTCCCTGCCTACCTCCCCAACGCTGGCACCTGCCCTCTCCCCACTTTACTCTCCTCCAGTCCCTTGGCCCCTTGCAAATCCATAGCCACTTCCAACTCACTCATACCCCAGGACATGGGCATCTACCTTTTCTCTGTCAAATACCGTTTCTGAGCTCTCTGAGTCTTCACGCGGCAGGTCTCACCCTCGGGCCATCGGGCCATCGGGCCATCGCATGTGGAGCAGCCCCACCCCAGGCCCTCTCCCTCTCATCGCTCTGCTTATTTCCCTCGTACTACGTCTGGTCCCCGAGTGAGCCTGTTCGTGTGTGTGTGTTTATTGGTTATGACTCTTACTAGCATATAAGCGCCATGAAGGCTGGGATTGGTCACATCCATCTTTTATTTATTTTTAAAAATAATTATTTATTTAATTTTACTTATTCATTCATTTATTTTAATTTGACCAGAGAGAGATACACAGAGAGAGAGGAAAAGTGAGAAAGCAAGCCACCAGGTCCAGGACTCGAACGCTGATTGGCCATGTAGGAGCATCCAGCTCTTTAACCACCATGCTGCCTGCTGGTCCCCAGGTTACCTCTGTCTTATGTACCACTTGCTCCAGGCATCTAGAAGAGTCCTGATACATCATGATAGTGCTTGACAGATGTTCATTGACACAGTCTTAAAACAGGGCTTTTGAGGGTTGGGAAGCATCTGGAAGAAAGGAGACGCATACCAGGTGCTAACGCCATGCTTATTATCACTATGAGGGTGATGATGTTTCCATCACATGGAGGGAGGGTGGTCTTACTCTGTTACATACACAGGACCTTTATATGGTAGGTTCAGAATCTCTCGGGCCAGTCGCTTCCCTTATCTGGGCAAGTGGCACAGTGACGTGACCGCTCACGTGCGTGCTCTATGCTTTATTCCCTTTTCCGTCCTTTAATCAAGTGCACTGATCTCTCTGCCTCAGAGCTATTAGGCGGAGCTGTATACGCACAGCAAGCCTACTGTGTGTTACCAGGCTTTTAAGACATTTTCAAGGAAATTTCTGACTTCAGGCATCGAACTTAGACCATTACACTCTCCTCATGAGACGTGGCCCTACTCTGTGTCAAAGAGACCAAGAAGAGAGGACCTGGTTAAAGGGGAAAGGAGGGGAGGAGTAGGGGGGCATCGTCCTGCAGGTCAGTCTCCCTACAAGGTGGCCTCAGGCACTTGCGGTCGTCTTTGGAGTTCCTAAGGAGCAATTTGACGGCACACGGGGCAGTTTCTGAGTGCTGCCGTGTCCGGCATCTCATGACACGGTGCTACTAATGACAGCTGGCATGGGTCGGGCACTTAGCAGGTGCCCAGGCACTTTTCTAAATGCTTTCTAGATGAGCTCCCTTTCTCCCAACTAGAACCCTCTGGGACAGGCTCTATTATTACTTCTGGTTTACAGATAAGGGAAGTGAGGCACAGAGAAGTTAAGCTACTTGGCCAGGACGACACAGCTAGAAAGCATTAAGCCGGAAAGGAGGGTTAGTCTGATCCAGAGCCCTTTTTCGTCATCCTCTGGCCATACTGCTTCTGGCCTCTGCTGTCACTGGCCCCTGGAGTCCCTGGGAGCATGTGGGGCTCTGTGTTTCCAAGGAAACAGAAGTTCCGGTTTGTAAGAGAATGGGGAGGGGCAGGTGACGTCCCCTTAGAGTCCCTAGCAGAATCCAGGCAACTGGGGGCTTTCCTCTCTCACGAAGCGGCCAGACCTCCTTGTCTGGGAGCTGAGTGGCTGTGGGATGCTGGCTGGGAGCCCATCCGTCCAAGGCCCCACTCCAGGGCCCTTGGCGTCTCCACCGCCCAGGTCATTAATATTCCCACTCAGCAGCCCCTCTCCCTTTAACGGCACGCATTGCTGCGTCTCGTTGCCAGAGCTATGGCCTCTCCGGGAAGAAAAACCAGTGGCCCGTTTTTGCCTTGCTGCACTTTCTAGACCAGGAAGGGGTTGGGCCTCAACTCTGCCCCTGACTTTATTCACCAGACTATCCGACCAACAGTGCAGGTGTCCAAGCTACACCTTAATTTTCCAAAGACTCTTCTGGGGGAAAATATTTCAAAGCAAACATTTTATTATTTGCGCATCGAAGGTAACTTTTAAATGAGTTGTAGAGACAAACGTGTTGTTTATGTAACAACTAGATTCTGTATTCTAGAATCCCTTATGAAAGCTTATTTTATTTATTTTAAAAATAATTATGTATTTTATTTTATTTATTTATTTACTTATTTTTAACTTGATGAGAGAGAGAGAAAATGAGAAAGCAAGCTGCCAGGTCCAGGACTTGAACCATGGTTAGTCATGTGGGAGTCCAGTGTCTTAACCACCATGCCACCTGCCAGCCCCCCTTATGAAATTTTAAGTTCTGAATTAGCAGTGCATTTTCTATTAAGCATGAAAGAGAATGTATACAGTTTCTATGGTAAAGCAATGTGTACTGGTACCAGGGGATGCTGGGGTGATAAAAGGGTTGTTATAGAAACACATGTGACTCTCAATGTTAGGGACTAATCTAACTCTGCCATTAATCAGCTCCATGCCTACGGTTTTATTGTTTTTAAGCAACCGTCTATAGCACAGGCCATTGTGGCATTATTGTCGTATTGCTGCATGGCACCACCAGGGGGTAGCATCAAGCATAATTTACATCAGTTTTGCTACTTTGTGGTCACATTGAAGGTGCATTGGACTCGGTTATTTAAGGATACATTTGATAGCCCGACTAAGGGTTGTATAAGGATATATTTGACAGTGGGTGGACAGAGGTGGGAGGAGTACACATGCTACAGCAGGAGACTCCAAAAAGCTCTTGGAAAAATAGAATTAAAGTGCGAGTTTATTTTGGTGCAAACAATTTTGAAATTCATGCATCTTTTTTTATATTCATTGTTTTTTCATATCCTTTCATTCTCCATGAACTTTTTCAGAAGTCATTGGAGAGAGCACCCCGCTGACTCTGCAGTGTGGGCAAGAGGGTAGCGTCTATGGGGACTTCCCTCTCCTTCTCTGTCCCGGAGGGCCGTGGTCAGCTCTGGATGCTGCTGTTAATTAAGTGAAGTGCCACACGAGTGTGTCCAGCGGAAGGTGCTGAGTGCTAGGGAGCTTTGCAGAAGCACATTAGTTAACCGAAGTGGATGCATCTCAGCCTCTACTTCTGGACCTCTTGGGCAAGTCACAGAAACCTTCCCAGGCTCAGGTTTCTCCGTGGTAAACAGGAACAAGTAATATCCACCTTACAGGAGAGTCATGCAGGCGATGCATGCCGCCGCCTGGCCCCGCAAAGCCTGAACAATGGCGATTCTAATGACAATGACTCATACCACGATGTCGGCAGCATTGATATTTGTATTATTATCACTGTAACAATAATCCTTATTATTGATCATAAAAGCTTTATTATTGACAATCACATTGTATGGCATTTGATACACATCTGTTCCATGTTTTATATTATCCGACGTACCGTATGGCTTGTATATATAATGTATTTGATGCATAGCACTATATTATATAACAATCATGAATATTTCATATAAGTAACAGTTACTGTTTCAGTAATTAATAACCATCCTTGAAGGAGTGGGTTTTCTTTCTTTCTTTCTTTCTTTTTTTTTTTTTTTTTTTGAGAAAGGCTTTTTTGGTGTGTTTTTGGCTATAGGGTGCATGCACTTGCTGAAGAGACAAGAGAAAGACAGAGAGACAGAAAGCAAGAAGTCCCCCCCACACACACCCAGGGCGAATGGCCGTGCTGCAATCCCTTCTTCTCCATTCTCCTCTTGGGATCTTGGACACACATGCACATTCACGCACCTGGCATGTTTTAATCCACCAAGTTCAGGACTCAAACCATGATCAACTAATTGGGAGTCCAGCAATGTAACCACTATGCAACCTACTGGTCTCCAGAAGAGTGGGATTTATTACAAAATGTTTAATTCCTCTCTCAAGTGGGACTTGGAGATGCTAGAACGCAATGGATTATTTAGAAAACCAAATGGAATATTGGGGGTCCAGGGGTTTGGGCCCCTAGCTTGGACAGTATGGAGAGGCAGGCAACTCAAGGAGTCAGAGGCTCAAAAGTGTGACCTTGCATGTCACTTGCCCTGTTTGGACTCAGTCTGCGCATCTGCAAAGGGGCATGGTTGTCATTGCTGGTCAGGGCGGCAGGGTGGGCCAGGGTGTGAAGGGCCACTCTCCCTGTGCAGGAGTCGGGGCTGTCTGCGTGGATCGGCGGGCAGCTGCACCCCCTGGAGCACGTGCCCCCTGTGCTGGCTGTGATGCTCATCACCGTCGTCATCGCCTTCTTCACCGAGTTCGCCAGCAACACCGCCACCATCATCATCTTCCTGCCCGTCCTGGCAGAGCTGGTGAGGGTCCTTCTGGGGCTGGGTGGTGCTCAGAGATCTCGCCTCTGCTCCCAGGAGCTTTGTAAAGGGCCGCAGTTTCGTGGGAGTGTCAGAAGCGCAGTGCAACTTTTTAAAATATTGGGTTTTTCTCTTTAAGAGATGCATAAGCAGCAAATGTTTTTAAAGTGTACTGAATTTCCTTGTTTGAGAAAATTATCCCACAGTGATGTGGGAACGTTTCCTGGAAACACCTCAGTTTGCATTAGAAGTGGAAAATATGAGGAGGCAAACAACCACGGGAAAACTAAGGGGGGCCGTTCTGCAGCCTCGTCTTGGGGCTCCAGGACCACTGCCATTTGGTGCCAGAGACCTTTCAGCAGAGGGGGCAGACTGGGTGCTGTGGGAGCTTCTGTCACAGTAATAGACTTTACCCACCAGAAGCCCCTCTCTAGATGGTGACAATCCAAGAAAAGAAATGTCCCCATACATTGCCCATGTCCCCTAGGGGGACAAATCACTCCCACTTGAGAACCACTGCTCTAAAATCGCCAGCGCCAGATGGTTTGCTAGCGAACCTTCAAGGGAGGGTTCCCAACACACCCAGCTGTGCATGAGGAAAGATGGGAAGAGCCATTCAGTCCACGGGGGAGGTTAGCGAATCCCGGACACCAAGCCCAGGCAAGGAGAGCCAAGGAAGGGAACGCACTAGCTCAACCTCCCACACAGGCAGAGATGCAGAGAGCAAATGAATCCCCAATCCAGGAGTGCACACAAAGGACAATCTATCGTGATCAAGCAAATTTTATATTAGGAATCATAAATGAGATTAACATTAGGAAATTATCAACATTAGATGAAAACAGAGTAAAAGATGCCAAGCCATATGATTTTCTCTCTGTCTCTCTCTCTCTGCATGCTCCTCCATTCTCTCAGGATTTTGGGCACGCGCGCACACACACACGTTCCTGGTGTATTTTACAAGCCACCAGGTCTGGGACTTGAACCATGTAGTCAGCCATGTGGGATACAGCCACCTCAACCACCATGCCACCTGCTGGCCCTGACTTTCTTAATATAATCCAAGCCCTATCAAGTGAAACCAATGTTGCAAATGTAGGCTTTGTGTGCAAGCAGTGCTAAAAGTGCTACACCAGCACGTTTACCTTGTCTTGGTTTTTTGTTTGCTTAGTTTATGCATGAATTTATAATGGAGATCACACGGTATGCGTGCCCAAATGAGTTCTCTCTCTCTCTCTGCCAGAGGTGCATGCATTCGCCAAAGAGAGATGGGAGTGAGGGAAGAAAGCACCTCCCGATGGAGTATGGTCATGCCACAATCCCTTCTCCCTTCCTCCATCCTCAGGATTTGGGGCACGCATGCACACACGCCCAGCATGTTTTTCATGTTGCTGGACTCAGATTCGAACTATGGTTGGCAATGTGATATCTGGCTCCCTTAACCCATAGGCTACAGGGTTGGCCCCACTGAGCTTATTTTGTATTTTTTAAATAATTATTTCTTAATTATTATCATGGTTATTATTATTTTCATTTGCTGTAGGGCACACGCACTCCCCAGAGAGAGAAAGACAAATAGAACGTCACCAAGCCCGGGACCTGAACTGCAGCTGGCCATGTGGGAGCCCGGTGCCTTAACCCATGCCACCTGCTGGCCCCCTGAGTTTATTTGTGATGACTGGAGGATATCCCATTATGAATGGACAGTCATGGGTCTATTTATGCACTCTCCTACTAACAGACATATAGGTATTTCCAGACCTTTCTGTTATCCGGCAATGCTGCCTTGACCTCGCCTTGTCTGCGCATCTTTGAGTCCAACTAGAGAAATCATAACTGAGATTCTTGAATTAAAGAGCATGTGCATTTAAAAATTTGTCAGAGATGAGCGAATTGCCCTCCAAAGTGGCTTGCCATTTCGGATTCCCACCAGGGGTGTGGCATGAAAGGCCTTGCACCCTTGGATTTAATAAGGTCCTTCTCCAGGAGCTGAGAGACTTAGCGATTGAGAGGAATGAGGGTTATGAGGGTTATGTGGGAGGGAGGCTGCATACCCAACCCGTCCAGTATTTGCCATGGATAGCTTTTGCTAGAAAAGACACATTCCTCTACACGTTGCTTATCATTCAGATCAAAATATTTTATACACAGAGGGTGATTTTAGAGCTTTTTGAGAACACTTCTGTGCTTTAGGTCACCAGAATTCCCTAGAGGCACCAAAATATGCCATCTTAAGTCAAACACCAGAGACATGATCGATGTGAATCGTAGGTGCGTATGTCATGTGAACTGAGGCTGACCCACAGCCACGATGGACCCACGCCATCTTAGGAACACTCGCCAGCTGCTGTTATCCTGAGCTCTCCTCGCCTCTGAGGGCAGTGAAGCCCCAGCAGAAGAGCTCAGGGCCCAGCGCTGGGATTGTTGGCTGAGGGAAGGGCAGGCCGGGAGCTGCTGGTCAGAGCCCTGGTTCTCTTCCGTGGTCCCTGGGCCAGCAGCATCGGCATCACCCAGGAGCTTGTTAGAAATAAATGCAGGTTCTCAGATCCCACCCAAAGCTGCTGAATCGGCAGCTTGGCCCAGTGGGGCAGCCACCTGGAGCCACGAGCCCTCCAGGTGGTCTAATGCATGTTTGTTTTTCAAGAATGCTCTAGAAACATCACCGCAGCCCATCCTTGATGAGGCTGCAGTGTGTGCCTGGAATGTCACTAACCTCTGTCTCTCTCTGGGGTGGTTCTCTTCTTGCCCACTTGTCTCTGTTCCAGCCTGTCATCCGTGTTTCTGGCACATCTCTCTCTGTCTCTCTCTCTCCCTCTGACTCTTTCTCTTCTTGTGGGTCTCTGTGTGCCCTGACACTTGACCCATCTCTATATGACTTTGTTTTTCTGCTTCAATGCCCCGTGTCACTCCTGTCCCCACGCCCTCTCTCCCATGGTTCTCTGCATTTGACTAATTCAGTCCCTCCCACCCTGCCAGGCCATCCGCCTGAGAGTGCACCCCCTGTACCTGATGATCCCCGGCACCGTCGGCTGCTCCTACGCCTTCATGCTCCCGGTCTCGACGCCCCCCAACTCAATCGCCTTCGCCTCTGGACACTTGCTGGTCAAAGACATGGTGAGTGTGAGCGTTTTCTAGCAGCAGCCTGGAGGGTGCAGGCCGGTGGGCAGCAGGTGGGCAGTGTGGCATCCAGGCAGGACTCCCGCACCCCCACCCCAGCCTGTCTCCAAGCTGGTCCCTCTGAGTGGGAGCAGGTCCACACCTTCTATCTAACCTTGGGGACCACGCTCAGATGAGACAGTAGGACACACCACCTCGGTGACTGCTTTCCTAAGTTTGCCTCAGAAACAGGGATGTCCCCCCGTTCTGGGCACTGCTCTCTCTTCCTGCTCCATGCCGGAAATCTCTGCAAAAGAGGAGAGCACTCACCCTGGGCTCAGGGGTGGGACTCAGGGGTGGGCTTCAGTCCCATTCAGCCAGGGAGTGAGGCGGAGCTCAGGGTTGTGGCACCGGGTGAAGCAGGGAGGCACCAGCTTCCAGCAAGGTCGGCTGCTGGCAGGGGGCTTCCTCTCCCACCACCTTCCCTCTCTGCTTCCTCCTCTGCCTCTGCAGCCTCTAACCTCTCCATGGGCTTCCCTAGGTGTCCATGCAGTGACCTCTCAGAGAGTGCAAACACCCCTCTGTAGCTGGTGCAGCAGTGCCCACATGGCCGACTGTGGTTTGAGTCCCGGATCTGGTGGTGAGGGGCAAGTGTGGAAGCAGGGAGTCTACAAAAGAAAAGGAGGGAGGGGGCAGAAGTGCAGACAGCATTGATTTGGGGAACAAAGAGAGAAATGGAGAGCCCCCAAGAAGGCCTGAGAGCTGCAGAGGGACCCGGAAAGATGTCCAAGGTTGGGCCTGTTCTGAGCAGGGCACCCGCCACCACAGCTTTCCCTCCTGAGAGTAACTGTCAGGTGCTA